TACCTGTCTTAAAGCAAAAGTTAGAATGAGTAATCTCTCTAGTTATCTGTAGCATCTCTCACTGTCTGGAGAAGAGTAATGGAACCGTCAGGTCAGATTTTGCATGAGTCAAGCTACATAGGCTTTAATGAGCACTGTACTGAGCCACATGGGGAAGGACAAAAGGTGAATAGGCACAAAGAACAGAAAGCACAGCCACCAGGGTGACACGGTAATGGCTTCCAGGGAAGAAATTTCCAAGAGAAGATGAAAATAAGTAGTTAGGCAATATTTGTTCCTAAAGTGCCACTTAAAACTATAACAAAACAACCATCCTAACCTGGAATGGATGACTGAAATGGAGCCAGAGTAATAGACAGGCCTGGAAAAGGGTGAGATGAATCCATGTGCACTGTCTTCAGCCTAGCCAACCTGTTCCATCCCAAGTTGAATAAATTCCACATCCCAGAGTGGGATCTATCCAGAGCTGCTGCTGGCAGCTGTTCTCCTGGCAGCACAGGAAGACAAATTCATGGCATTACTGGGCCAACAGCTGCTACAGCTCTGGGGGAAGTGACAAGTGCCTGCTGAGAATGAACTATTCTGGGACCAGTCACAGAGTCAGCAAAACTGAGGCTACAGTTTGCTGGCTCAATGAAGATACAGTACACTTCCTACTCCAAAGTTTAGAGAACCAAAAAGTGCTTTCTCTATCCCAGCTTGTTTGACTCAGGTGGTTCCTGTCTTCACATGTTGCTCCATCTTTTCTGTTCCCAAGGGCATGACTTCTATGTTGGCTCATATCACCCTCCCCACTGGACCAGGACTCCCTACAATGCCCTTTCATCTAGTCTTTCTAAAGCATAGATAATTCAGTTTCTTGCTCAGAAATTGTTAGTAGCTACTTTATCCTTATAAAACAAAGTCCTAATCTATTGGCCAGTATTCATAAACCTCTGTAATCTCTGGTTTACCAACTTTTCCAAGCATATTGTTCAGAGAAGCAGATAAGTTACCCCCAGCCATGTTTTCCTCACCTCTGGGCTGTTGGTGACACTACTGTCTATCTAAAATGTTTCTTTCTTCATCTCTTCATTCCTCTCTAAGATCTTTCACTGTCTTATTATATAGAATATTCAGGAATAATACATAGCATTGACAGTTTTATTTTCCCATTCCTATCCACTGAACTTCACCTCCAACCAGAACAAATCACTCTCTTATGTGCACTATGTATGGTCACATACCGTCCTTCCATATACCATGACACATAGACAATATTGCAAACACTGTCCCTCAACATCTCTCCCTTTATAGAGACTACTTTCTAGGTCACCTAAGTTAATAAATATATTTTCTAGTTTCCCTTACAGCACAGCATAACCATGTGACTAAGTTCTGTCCAGCTAGATATGAGTTAAAGGCATGTATGTGCCACTGTCAGACTATACCTTTAAAGAATAAAGATATAGTGCCCTCTTGCCCTGCTGTTTTTCTGAATTGATGAAATGGGATATGGTAAGAATGAGCTATATGGGCATACAAAGTAGAATGGACACATTCTAGGGGTGGGACAAGGAGCCTGACACTTTCCTGACTGGCTAGCAAACTATTATCTATAGAAAAATATATACCTATCTTTTATATGCAATTATTATTTAAGGTTTACTATAGCATCCACACCTTTCTTAACCAAACTAGTCATGTCTAAAATGCCTTTTATGTATACACCCCCCAAAAAGAAGAAAGGGACAAAAATTTTGGTGCTACATACAAAATGTTGCAGCACAGCTGCTTATAGCACATAAACATCTGAGCACTAGGCTGTCTTCTGCTACACAGAAATGAGGAGGAAAAGGGAAAAATGAAGGTTCCATTACAGTGTGATGCTAACAAGTAGAGGTCTCATCCTGCATTAGTGAGACAAGGCAGAATTTAGCCCAGTGGACTGTTCAGATGATCACTGGACTTAAGAAAGTAGAGCATAAGTTTAAGTGTGGGGGAAAAAGAAGAAAATGAGAGGAAAAAGGTACAAAAGGCTTAAAAATAACAAATGAAATATAATTTAGAATTTCACATATACATTTATAAGGGAAAACCCCATTTATTCCATATAAAACTGAGAGACTCTCAACTATCTGATTTTTGTTGATATTTTCAGGAATAAATTAGTCTGAATACAGAATGCTGTCTGGAGTTCTTGTTTAGTTTTTCTCCATCTTATCCTTATTATGTGCATTTGTTCCTATGACTCGTCTCTTCTTGTAGTAGGCTGTACTATGTGAAATTGCTATTATGTGACCATTTTTGATCTATAAAAACCAGCAATTCAGATGTTCCATTCTAAGAGAAGAAAGCTTTTTGTTTTCAGACTTTTTAAAAAGATTTAATTCAGGGGGGGGGGGTGTGAATGAATACAGTACCCAGAGAGGCCAGACGAGAGAGGGAGGGAGGGAGGGAGGGAGGGAGGGAGGGAGGGAGAGAGAGAGAGAGAGAGAGAGAGAGAGAGAGAGAGAGAGAGAGAGAGAGAGAGTGTGTGTGTGTGTGAGTGTGTGGTGTGGTGTGAATGAATACCGTTCCCAGAGAGGCCAGAAGAGGGCAATAGACTGGAGCTACAGATGGGTGTGAGCTGCCTGACGTGGTTCTAGGAAAGCAATCTGGATCCTCTAAAGAGTAGGAAGCACTCTTAACCACTGAGCTGTCCCTCCAGCCTTCAAGCTCATCTTGCTCTGCTTTACTTCTTTCTCTCAGAATGCCTTCAGCCCAAACTGTTAGTAAAAAAACTGCTAAAACTGACTCGGATCAAGCTCCCCTTGAAACACTTCTAGTTCCCTGACATATAAAACCCTCCCATCTTTGACCTGCCTGGGAAAAGGCACTGACTCCCTTTTAGTTCTTTTTAGAATTTTCTATCTTCCTAGCAAAAATATTTACTACCTGCCAACACTGGGAGACCTCTTAAGCCTTAGGTTTTTGGCTCTTGGTTCTTATTCTCTCTTCTACATTTACATATTGTTTACACTACAGATTTAATATGTATCCCCACTCAAAACCATTTAGCTCAGTAGTACCACATCTCAACTTGGGTACCTGAAATCCTTACAGTGCCTCAAACTCAACTACTCAAAGCAGAGTCACTATTTAAAGCACCTGTTTCCTCCATGCCCTTATGTTATAGAGGACACCACAATTCTTCTGATTGCCAGATTAGAGATACCAGGTCACCTAACCATTTAGATTATTTTATCCAATCAGTTATCCAATCCTGTCTAATTTCTCAAATACCTCTTGAATACTGCTATCATATAAGGCTGAAAGGCTCACCAAAGGTTTGTGTGGTAAAGGCTTGTTTACTGCTGGACAACAGCAGAGCCTTTAGGAGGTAGGATCTATTAATAGGAGACTAGGACACTGGGGGATTGTCTTTGATGGAATCCTAACCTCATCCTCTCTCTGTTTTCTGACCATCATGAAGGAACAGGCCTCCTCCTCCTCCACATGCTACATACCACCACAGGGCTCCCCAAAAGTAGATCAAACAACTATGGACTTAGGACCTCTGGAACTATGAGGCAAAACAAAACACAATACTTTTCCTCTTTACAGTTTATTTATCTCAGTTATCTGGTCTTAATAACAGAAAGCTGACTAACACAAATACATCCTACTGCTCCTTTCTAGACACTATCCAATTCTATATGTACTACCCTCAAAACTTAACATACCTCTCTTGGATTTACAAAAATTATATAATTTTACCCATACTTTTCCTTGGGTCTGTCTCAATACAACATCCTCAAAGGCTCATTACCACAGGGCATGTCAAATGTGAGTTTCTATGCTTGCTATCAAAGCATTATCTATCCTTTGGGACCCATTCTACTTACTTAACCTTGTTTTTCACTGTTTTTGAAAATATTCATTTTCTCCTATCTTTATTAAAGTCCCTTTTCCTATATAGTTTGCATGGCTCTTTTACTTGTTAACCAAAAATTCCAGAGCTTATCTTATTACCATAGGAATGAGCACAATCACAATACCTAGCAGGTATTAAAAGGAACTAACAATTGGATTATTACTTAGGATAATATGGGAATTGGCTGGAATAAATCAAGCACGAAGTAATGGTCAAAGGAGAATAGAAATGGCCCCCTTTTCTAGGTCCTTGAACCACCTGAATTATAATTCCATAGTACTCACTCAACTTTAAATTACCTGACTGTAATTTGTTTACTTCCCATCTCCTCATTCTAATTAAAAGGCCATGTGGAAAAGACATTCTTGCTCTCTGTCATATCTCAAGGCACTATGAAGAAGTTCAAGGGATGTGCAATGGATATTAGTTGGATAAATGCTCAACAATCTTTCCTTTGGGGCTATCTAGGAAGACAAAGGGAATTAGCTGGAATGGAAGGAAGCAGGAGAGGGTAGTGTGGTGGTATGGTGGCAATATAAGTAAATATAATTAAAATACATTGCATACATGTGTAAAATGTCATAATTAAACCTATTACTAGCTACACACACACACACACACACACACACACACACACACACACACTTTAGACCACTGGCTGACATACATTAGCTTGGCTCGCTATTTATTCTGATCTCTTTTAGATAGAGAACTGCCCATTAAGACTGATGTGAAAGGGGCTGGAGAGATGGCTCAGAGGTTAAAAGCATTGCCTGCTCTTCCAAAGGTCCTGAGTTCAATTCCCAGCAACGACATGGTAGCTCACAACCATCTGTAATGAGGTCTGGTGCCCTCTTCTGGCCTGCAGGCATACTCGCGGACAGAATATTGAATAAATAAATAAATAAATAAATAAATAAATAAATAAATAAAATATTTAAAAAAAAAAGACTGATGTGAAAAAGGAAGAGTTCTTGAGGGATTTCAACAAATTTGAAGCTTGTAGGTTCAAGAAGCAACCTGGATCTAAGAGGTACCCTTTGCTTCCCTGCACCTCAGCCCACACTCTCAAAGTTTCTAAAAGCAATTGCTATGAAGTCCCTACTTAAATTGTTGGTCCTTGGTACTTCGTGTCTTTGCTAAAAAGCGCTCGGCTAGCTTCTCCAGGTTTCGAGAGTAGTCCATTTCAATCTCAGCCTTCTTGCGGAAGAAGTCTTGCAGGTCCTGCAACAGCTGCACCCGGAGTTCACACTGCTGGTCTAAGCATTTCATCTGCTCTGTGAGCTGAGCCCGGATCTCTGCAAGACAACAAAATAATGTGGTCAGTCCAACAGCCCTAAATATACACTACACACACACAGACACACACAGACATGCACGCACGTACGCACGCACAAACGCACGCCCCTGCCTTTCATTCACTGTTCCCTGTACCCTGAGATATCAAAGTCCTTAATAACATAGCCTATAATCGAAACTGACCATAGAATGTAAGGTACCTTCAAAAACCTCCAACTCTTTTTGGACCACTGAAGACTATCTATGATCAAGAATCTATTCAATTTGTTAAAATAAGTTCTATAATAGACAAAATAACATCCAAAGCTAAATATTCATAAAGCAGTTAACTGTTTCTAACACCATCCAGAATTTGGGTTCTTTTCTGGCAAGGAGCCCAAATGAATAATCAGATGAATCATGTTACCCCCATTTTAAAGACTGATTACTAAGTCTTAAAGAAGACAAACTATTAAATCACAGTAAGCTGGGATTCAACAGCAGACAAATGACTGTTTTTTACACTTTTCCTCATCATTTCAAAAAGTTTTTCAATATCTTTATGAAGTATAGTAAGGAAGAATCATTGAATTTTCATGGAGGTGGAAAGATGTCTTTTCTAGATCCAAATGGCAGCAACCAAGAACAAACGTGTACTATGACTTCTAAAAAATCACATTCCAGGTCAATTGGTTTCATAATTTCAAATATTATAAAAAGTAAATATTCAAGAAGCTATCTCTAGAACTGGAGGAGTAGCATAACATGGTGGTAAATGACTTAGGAAGAGATTTTTTTTTTTTTTTTTTACTGAGATCCCACTTGTTCCATCCTCACAGAGGCCTGAGATCCTCTGCTCTGTTCCAGCTAGAACTATGTTCAGTTACACTCTTGCCTGGCAGATTTCCTACCCAGTTCTTGCATAGGACTAGCAACACAACCACTGTGGAATGGCAGCTTCAGAGGCAACTGGATCTGTCTTGAATACACTACATGTTTTACTGATAAGAGATTTGGCATTCACAAGAAATAGCCTGCCAACACTGGGCTGATTTCTTGTCCAGAGTGGGTCTACAGTGCATGTCCAGCTTATTTTACATCCAGTTCCCCATTAGCTTGAAAATAGAGCAATCATTCTCATCCCTTTTCTCTACCAGCACACTCACCTCCAGCAAGATTCCAACTTGAGGTTGAAAAGAAGTACTACACTATGCCTTTCCTGATGCATGCTTCAAATTCATTTCCCACAGCACTGGCAGATGGAGAAGGAGAGAAGTGACGATGTCACATGAGTTCCAGACAAAATTTTGGGATAAGGACCATAATGCTGAAAACTTTGCAATCACTCCTTTCTTAAAGCAACGAGAATTGACAAAGCTGCACTGGGTTTTGCCTTAGAGTACTTGAAGTCCATCTTTATTGCTTCTGTTTCTGCAGGTATATCAGTACTTGACAAACATAGCTGGTCCTTTGCAGGTTACCCTAGGTAATCTCTAAGAGCAATCTTCTTCCTCATCTCTATTCAGTCCTGCAGTAACCCAACCTGAACTGAAACTGAGCACTGCAGGATTGTTTCCAGCAAGTAGAATACTTCACAGAAAAGCCATTCCCTACCTCATCACTCATCAAAGCTCTCTTGTTCTGCACAGTCTGGAGTCTGATTACAAGGGGTGTAGGGCTGTGTGTGTGTGTAAGAGATTTACAGAGGTTATACCAGGAATCCGGTTCTTGTCAAAGATTTCTGGGTCTCTTAAGGGTAAAAGTTGTTGTTATGATCATTCCTAGAGGCAACTGCCCCTTTGTACAAATTAATGAAAATCTAGCAATAACTGCTAGTACATAGGAAGACTGTGGGTACAGATCATTCATGGGTCATCAGTATTATTTAAAAACTTACCCATTAAATAAGAATCATCTCTTAGAGTAAAATGGCTGTCCAGGATCCAAATCAGGAACAAAGGTACAAAGGAAGATAAAGGTACACTGAGGCTATCAAGTCCCTCTGAGTCAGCTATAACTCACTTTTAAGACTACACCTCAACAATCTTCTAGCAGGAATGCAGAAAGAAATTCTAGACTGTTCTAGGGACTATAGACAAAGCCCCATGATACTAACGTAATTCAATAAGTAGGCTGTTCTGAAACTGTTCTGTCCATGAAATAAGTGCACGATAGGGGCTACTTGTTGGATACAGTAATGTGTCTTAGAAGTTCCCATGAACTTTGAACCAGTATGGGAGTCCACGCTGACTTCTCAATGAGTAAGCAGTGTAGCATGAGCTGTATCCCATGCTTGCACCCTCTTCTGGATCCTTATAGAAAGAGTGTGTATTTACTGAACACGTTAAATCACTTAATTTCCATTACTAGCTTCTAAGATACTTCAGGTGAGAAAAATGGAATGTTTATTAAGTACTAAGCCAAGGGCCACACCATCAGTGCTAACAGGACTTCTGGTGGTTAATACTTGATGGAAATCTATCTATTATTACCTACGAGACAAGTCTCTGAGTATAATCTACATCAGAATAATTTAGGTTTGAAGATTCCTTGACTAAGGGAGCCACCATTCCACTAGCTGAGGTCTTGAACTGAATAAAATGAGGAAGTAAGCCAAGCACTCACTGCTCTCGTTGTGACTGCAGATGTAACTGTGAATAGCTCCTTCAAGCTCCTGCTACCTCAACTTCCCTTCCACAAGACTGCTCCTCCAATTGGGAGCCAGATTAAACCCTCCTCCTTTAAATCGCTTTTGCCAGACATTTTATCACAGCAACAGGAAAGGTAATGGAGATGGGCTAAAGCTAACAACATTTATCTGAGAAGTCAGAAGTAGATACACCGTAGACATCATTTCTGGGTAAATCAGTGACCATGGTTTTTTAATCTTTGGAACTTCGACTTTGTCTTCCTGCTGAAGAATGATTCAGGGTCCCAGGATCAAGTTTAGGCTAGGCCATTGATTTACAAGTTAGCCCACATTTTGATTAATCCAAAACCAGAATAGATCCCTTCCATACATCCTAGATCTTTTCTCCATAGAAACTTCAAAAGGAAGTCCTTCCCTTCACTTGTGAGCCCTATCCTGAGTTAATCAATAAGTACAAAGGATTGGGCAGGGAAGGAAAAGAGACACCCACCCCAAACCAGAAGAGAATGCTAATAGACACCTCCTGTCACTGGTTTGTGATAAGGTACCCCTGCCCTGAAACATGCCTAGAAGGAAATCTCTCCCTTACTATCATTCTCAGAGCATTGAGGAAGGCAGTAAGAAAGATTCTAGTCCACTACTCCAAGACAGAATGGCTGTTCTGTGGAGAGCAGAATGTACTGCGGCTGTTGTTACAACAAACAGTGGTCCTCAATCCGGCAGCTGTGCCAGCCTCTGTCCAAGTACATAAGGGGAAAGAAACAATAGGGTACTGATTGTCAGCACACTTGGGCCATGTGCCCAGGCTGGAGACCCCGCCATACTCTAGTTGACCAAAAGGGCATAAAGAAAATGGGGCAATTTATAAAAACACAGGGGATTTCTTAACATTCAAATGAGTATGCATGTGGACTTGTGAGCACACTCAAAGACACACTGTTCACATGTTCTAACACACAAAGTCAAGAAGACTTCACAAGTCTCTTTTACAGCTAGCAGAGAAGTCCTGGGAGATGATGGGCTCTTGTAGTATCTTTCAGCACAATTATGGGAAGAAGCCAAGCTCTCTTCTTTAAAAGTAGTTGTCTCTGAGCTATGAATGCTTCCTTGGTTATCCATAAAGTACCAAAGTACTAAAGTCACCATGAGTAGCTATGAAGGGATGAATGCCAGAAGTGATCTCCTCTGGGCACCTAATGTCTGTTTGGTCTTGCTTTGAATATTCTTTCCTATATAGCAAACCCACAGAAGTAAATTCCAATGTGAAGACTTAAGAGTTAAAAGTAATCACACCTGGGCAGTGGTGGTGCACGCCTTTAATCCCAGCACTCGGGAGGCAGAGGCGAGTGGATCTTTGTGAGTTCGAGGTCAGCCTGATCTACAAGAGCTAGTTCCAGGACAGGTTCCAAAGCTATAGAGAAACCCAGTCTTGAAAAACAAACAAACAAACAAAAACAACAAAAAAAAGAGTTAAAAGTAATCACAAATAGAAAGAAATCTAACTGTAAATCTTAAGAAAAATTCAATGTCCTTTGACTCTTTTCTTTCTTTTTTTAAACCACATTTTAAAATGATACAAGGAAAAAAATTAGCAAGGATCAAAGTTTTTAGACAAGTTTCCTCATACTCAAGAGTGACCTTTGAGCTGGGTGGTAGTGGTTAATTCCAGAACTCGGGAAGCAGAGGTAAATAAGTTCAAGGTCAGCCTGGACTACAGAGTGAGTTCAAGGATAGCCAAAGATACACAGAGAAACCAAAAAAAGAAAAAAAAAAACCCTAAAGAGTGACCTTTGCTATTTCATTCATAGATTCAGGTCAAAATTTAACTTTGCTGTTTTGCTTTTGTACAATTTTGTTAGTATATGAAAACACATTGAATAAATTTAAAGATGTGAATTTTATAGTATGAGCTCTCTCTCTCTCACACACACAATTTTTAACTCCACCAGATGTATTCTGTTGAGGTTGATTATGATTCTGCCAAAAAACAGGCAAGGAAATGACCCCAGACCCCATAAAAAAAAATTCTTGGTTTCTATTTCTCTATTTTTAGGGTAAATCAGTTCTGCACTGAATACTATTAAAACAGATTGGGTAAGCAGTGTGTCCAGGCAGCAGACCTAGCCATGACACTAAACTCCACTGTTCTACTCTTCTCAGAAGATGTCAGATCAAAACATGGCAAGGAATGCTTGTTCAAACTCAGGGTCAGCAGACATAGCCAACAGAATTTTCCCTGGGCAGTTCTGCTTCCTAGTTCATGCTTGGTTACAGCTAAGACACTACTAACTACACCTGGCTTGGGTGTTTTCTATCTCCCAAGAAGGAGATTTATATCTTACTTAGAAAAGAAGCTGCTGACTGGTTTCA